CAAGTAGCTAATAAGTGCTGGGCACTTTCCACAAATTACCTCCCTTAATTCTCACAGCCACTGTTTAAGGTAGTCATTATTATTCCCAATTTACAGACAGGGGAACTGAAACTCAAGGAGATTAGAAGCTTGGCCAAAGGCACATCATTAAATAAGCAGAAGAGCCGGAAATCAAAGCCGGGCTTATCCTGTTAAGACACTGTACCTTGCAGGCATCCAGCTATTTGTTCAACTGCTTCTAAGCCAAAAGCAAACAAAATATTGCTTCAGTCAGCAGGGAGTTACAAATGTTTCCCAAACGAAAGCAGTGCCACAGCACAATCAGCTTTGTCTTGAACCTAAGTCCTGTCCTGTTGTAAGCGCCCCTCAGTGGTTTCCGTCCAATAAAGCCATCAGGCAATCGGGCCGCAACCCCCATCTCCAGTCTCATCTCATCCATTCTCTCCCTCCCTCACTGTACTTCGGCCATGTTAGCCTTTTGATAGTTCTTTGAACATATCAAGCTCTTGCCCACAGACCTCTTCGCACGTGCTGTTACCTCTCCATCTTTGTTCTTTTCCCACTCTCCACGGCCACATTACGCTCTGCATTCCTCAGGCTCACCTGAAATGTCCCTTCCTTAAAGAGATAGTCCCTAACACCCCATCAAAAGTAAACTCTTCCCCTCATTGTCTCCCAGCTTTCAGTCATCTTCTTTCCAGCATTTATCATCATTTGTGATTAATGTATTCACTTACTTGCTTATTTTCTTCCCCACTCCACCTCACACATTCTCCAGGAATGTAAGTCCATGAGGCAAGAATCATATTAGCCTTCTTTTATCATAAGACCTAGCCCAGAGTAGTCGTTTAACGACTTGTTAGATAAAGGGAAGGAAAAATAGGAGAAATGAATGAAGAGGAGAAGATATTTGGAAATGTGTGTGGCCTGAATTTCTTTGTTGTAAGAATTTAAAAAAAGATGACGGTGTCTAGCACATAGTATTCAATGATTCATAATTCTTCTCTATCAGAAATATATCTTTAAGATGGGTTAAACAATAATACTAGAAATTTAGGAAAGTGATCTCCTATTTATTGCACAGGAATTGAAGAAATGTAGTTCACATAGAAACTGCACCCTTATGTCAAAGCTGTCTGCATCACAGCCTCTCTCAGCCCAAACCCCAACTTTCCAATCAAAGCAGAAAGTCTGTTTGCTTCCACTCTTCCTTACTGTTCTCCTCTTTTTCTAAGTTGGCGATGAACTTCCTCCTGTTGGCCTGGGAACAGCTGAGCAGCAGCTGGGAAGGCTCATGGCCATGTTCCCTCCAGCGATCAGGAATGGACAAGTGAAAGTCAGAATAAAGGACAGAACAGGATTCCAGCCACTCTATGTGCCAAAGCAGTGATATTGATCTTAGACAAGTCCCTTGGTGTGAGGTCTCAGAATGCCAGCATTTGAAGTCAACTAGCTGTGTAACTGAAGGCAAGTGGCTTAGCCACTCTGTCCCTCAGCCTCTTCATTTATGAAACAGGAATAGTCGCCTCCTCATAGAGCTATTGTGAGGTGTAAATAAAATCACCATAAAGAACTTAAACAGTCATTGGCAGAGAGTAAACACAATGAATTTTAGCTATAATTGTTTTCCGTGTGTGTGCCTGTGTACGTGTGTGTGTGAAATGTCATTAGCTGATGACGATCTTTTCTAGCATGAACATATTATTGTTCAGTAGGTTAAGTGTAGGAGTTAAGTTAAAGACTGGAGTTTGAATTCTGTCTGAGGAAGCTTATCTTCTTGAATTTCCTATTTCTTCTTTTTTTTAAGGTTAAAAACAATGTGGTGAAGGGAGAATGTAAAATAGAGTTACCAAATCTCGTAAGAGGAAGTTCTTGAACCCTGAACTCCTGGATTAACCCTTGGGACTTTGTTCCAATGGAATCCTTATCAGATGGGGCATGACGGTGCAAAAAGGAGTGACAGAAGAACGAGGAGAAGAGAATAAGATGAGAGGAACACTTGTGGGAACCAGGTTTAGGAAAGGTTGAGTAGAAGAAAATTCTGGAAAAGTGGAAAGAATTCAGAAAAATAAATAGGACCAGGATAGCTAATATTGATCAATCACTTCCCATGTGCCAGGCACTATTTCAAGTGCTTTGTGTGCATTAAACTCATTTAATGCTTTTATCCACACTGGGAAATTGGTAGCTTTATTACTCCCATTTTACACATAAGAAAACCGAGGCAGACAGAGGTAATGTAGTTTGCCCAGTGATCACATAACTTTCAAAGCACTTCATTTAAAGCCTCAATAAAATGGATGAGTTGGCAGATGTAGGCTTCACTTAGAATTGGAAAGGGGAAAAATGAGGACAGAGGTGGATTCCGGGTGTATGTGGATTTGTAATGACGTTATTGAGGTTTTAAATTCTAAAAACTTTTGTATCATTATAGAAGGTATTTCTTAAACTCTGATCTCTGTTTTATCCACCCCAACAAAAAAATAATCAGACTGTACTAGAGAATAAGTCATAAAAGATTTGCATCAATGACTTCTTTTGTTTGAGTCAAAAGCAATCTCAAGCTTGAGAATATGCAGCTCTTCCACCATAGTTGCAATAATTTATGACTCATCCTTTGTTGTCTCTTTCTTCCATCTTGCCCCAATAACCAATCTACTTCTAGTGATAATACAGAAAAACATTAAAATAGTAAGAGAAAAATAACACAGGAGTTTACAGGCTGGCCATAGAAGGTAATTCCTCAAACACTATAAAATCTTTGCTTGCTTGGTTTGCAACCAGGAAACTTGTTAATCACCATCACTTTTCCAACTCCTCTTGCAAGGGCAAATCCAATACAGTTCTTCAGTGGGGCACAGTAAAAAAACATGCAAAGGCATCTGAAAAAGCTCACTCATTTAGATTTAATTACATACATAACTGGTGTCCTCCCAAGTGTGAAAATGCTGTAACCACTAAATCAGACAATAAAATGCTACCTGAGCAAAACAGAGCTATAGAGAAGGTATGAGAGCCATCAAAATTCACTGATGTGCATTGGGTATTTTTACCCAGAGAAGTTCTTAAATCTTGCCTTCTTTTGAACACTCAGCTCAGTCATTTTCTGCAGAGGAGTGTTCTTGTGCAATGACTTGGAAGTGAACAGGAGATTTCAATCTTAAAAACATCTCTCTATGTTAAAGGTTCACTAATGTGTGTTTGCATGTTAGATTTTAAGGGCGATCTCATTTGTCTAGTACTGTTTCCTACAAGCCTAATTAATAACTTCTAGATGAAACTTAATTCAGCAGAAAGAGTATTTTACATTCGAGCTTCTTTGAGATAGACATACAAGGAAGACTGCAAACTTCTGCAAAGCTGAATTTTTTAAAAAAGTGACATTCGGAGCACCAACGTAACTTCCCATATCATAGGGAAAAATACTCTTTGTAATAATAGTAATGTGATCATTCAATCATTGCCAACAATCTTGATCTTTGCGAAATGCATTTGTTAACATGCCTGCTTTGGGTTGAAATTTCTTGTGAATGACACACTTGGAGTAAGAAAGTTGGGGAGACTGGAGTCTTGTCATCTTTTGGGCATACCTTTGCCAAGTGTAAATTTCTGGAGGATACGGACTTACCACATTTTTCATGTTCCCATTTAGAATAAAATTAAATGGAAAAATTGCTTTTCCTTTTCATAAAACTTGGTGAAAATAGCACCTTAATACATTTTACAGCTGCTGGTCAACCATGTTAGAGGCACAATCTAATCTCTGTAGACAGTTTCCTAAGGAAAAGAGCTAGACAGCTGAACAACTTCCTCACTTGTGCGTATGAAAATAAAAATGCAAAGAACTTAGGATTTCAAAACCATCCATGGATACAAGTAAGGAAATAAATAGATAATAGCGGGGCTTTTACTTTATCATTCACTTGTAATGCTCTTGGTTTTTCATTGGTTAATTTGGAAAGCAAAATGGCTCTCCCTGAGTTGGAACAGCTCCTTTCTTTCCTTACTTTCTACCTCAGGCCATAAAGCTAACTTTAAGTGATTTGGGTTGGACTGGTTTTTTGTTTTATTTGTTGGTTTGATAGGAAAGCAGGCATGTAACAGTGTGACACAGGTGAAGCTCAGAGATGCTCTTGAATTACTCAAGCAGGATCCATTTCCTCGTTCTTCTTAGCTGTGGATTTTTAAGTCTGGATCTGGCTCCTGCTCTTGTTTCTCTAAATATTTATCAGTTAACAATTATGCTCCAATGGCAACAAACTTGGCAGGAGAAATAAATAAGAATGCTAGCTTTCCCAAAGTAGGCTAAATAATGCAAGTCAGAAGTTTTTGAATCAGGATCCAATTATCAGATGTATGTCCTTCGATTTTGACAGTCATTAAACACATAGAAAAATCATGTTACTTCAGCACGCTGTTTCTCCTCTTTTTTTTTTTTTTTTTTTTAAATTTTAGATCATTTCCCGGTTGTTAGACTCCTGCCAGCAAGTTTCTCTGGTTGGTATTTGCCTCCTTTATTGTACAGCTGGGCTATGCTGAAATTAGGAGAAGTGCTTAGTGAAGTCCCCTGAATCCTGGCACCAGAGCCTTTCTCACAGAAGAGAACTCCTCTCACTTAGAAACATTCAAAGAAATAATTTTATGAAAAGTTGCCTGATACGATTAAGAATTCATTATTTGATCGAGACACTAAACCCAGACCTGCATTTTGCAAGCTTTTCATTTTTATATTTGCAAAGGGCTCTTTCCATAAGTTTCCTTAAATTGACCTTTTATGTTTTAAACAGATGTCGTTTTTATAAACCTGGGGCAAAGCAGCAAATATAAATTGTACTGACCTTCGTATATTGAAACTTCAGATTGGTGAGTGGGGCAGGTATGTCTGGCTGGCTTGACGACATTTCTGATTCAGCTCCTGGAACACAGGTGACAGGATCAGCGATTTCGTTCTCATAGAGCGCTTGGTTTTATTTGCTCCTTTTTATCTGCACCGGCTAGGGTTTATTTGCATACCGGGCTATGATTGGATGAACAAACAGAGCAAAAAGAAAACGACACTACTTCTGTGTAGCACCTAGGGCAGGAAGCCCTTGACTCTAAACTTAAATCCTTAAGAAACCAGCGCTCCAGCACTGAAGCTGCATCTGGAGACCGGGCACTATTTGCAGACGAATTAATTTACAAAGCCGAAACCTGTGATGAGGCTACGTAGCACAGCTGCTCTGGCCACTAAGGCCAGTTATTATTTTTTTTTTGGCTTTTCATGCTGTTTATGCTACTGTGAAACTTTCCATTCTCTGACAGACTTGGAATCAGAGAATTTGAGGATTAAAAAAGAGTCTCAAAGGGCACTTGTTCTCAATAGAAGCTGGTGAGGAGAGGACCCTGGCCAGGTGTCTCCAGAACAGTGCTTTCAGCGGATTAGTCCATGTCCCAGAAAAGCAGAGCGCTGTTTGCAGAAGAAAACTCCTCTCTCTAGACCCCATTCTAAGCTGGTTTTAAAAAATCATATCCATCACGTGTATTTTTCAGTGCTGGGTAAGTAGACCTATTGTGATTTCAGAAGCTGTAAATTATCTTTCTGTTATACATGGGAACAGAAAAGTCAGCAGAATTTTTAGGGAACTCGGAGTGCACTGTCACGCAGTCGCCACAGTAGCAATATGGCAACATCGTCTGTTAAAACTCATTTAAAATGAAAGTAACCTCTGGTTTTGGAAGTTGGCTGTATTTATCAAACGTTGATACAGGCAATTGTACAAGACTAAATTTAAACAGGACTCCCAAGTAATTCAAGTTCTTAAAATTAAATTAATGTTTCAAGCTGGGAACATTCAGAAAGGACAATTTTTAACTGTACTACTCCCATTTTAAGTACACTACTTTATTGCATTGAAGCTTTAGCAAAAGTTACAGTAGAAACAAGACAGAAAACTTTGGATGCTCTTAACTCTGATTGTTAAGATTTAAGAAAACAATTTTTTTTTTTCCAGTGAAAATTGCTAGCTCCCCTAAATATGGGGTTTAGGTCGGGAAACTAAGGCTTATGGAAAAGTTACTCCAAATCAGATTCCAGAGCCTTCCTTTCTCTTTCCATCCTCACTTGCTTCCTCTTTTTACAGACAGAGAGAGAGTGAGAAGCTTGCTTGTGATCACAGATCTATTAAGTGCAAGACCAGAATTTCATTTCGGGCCGGTCTGACTCCAAAACCCTGGCTCTTAATTCTATTTATTCTCCCTGCATAAGAGAATTCCCAGATGGGTTCGAGAATCGGCTGTTTTGGTTCTCTACATGAACAGTCACCCTCACAAGCAGTTAATTCTTTTATCCATCTAAGCCTTTTATTCATCCCAGACAGGGGTCAGCAAACTTTTTCTGTAAAGGAACAGATAATATTTTCCGCTTTCGGGGCCAGATGGTTTCTGTTGTAACTTACTGGACTCAGCATGAAAGAAACTATAGACAATAGATATATTAACGGGTATAGCTGCTTTCCAATACGATATTATTTACAAAAATTGGAGGCAGACCAGATCTGGCTCAAGGGCCAGCCCCCTAGATTCTAAGACAACCATCTCCAAGCTCCCTGCCTCCTCTGGACCTCATGCTTGAAGACCAGATCGAAACTTCTGTGTTATTTCAACACTTTTCTCTCTCTCTCCCTCTCTTTCTTCCTCTCAATTTCTTTCTTTTTGGAAAATCTAATTGTTTCCTCTTTTAAAAATGTGTTTTGAGTTAAATGCGCAATTACACAACAGCTGTTACATAACCTGCAGAGGGGTGTTCTGGCCGTGTCCAGACAGCTGGGTTTTGCTGCTTTCTTCTGCTCTCAGCTTCGCAGTTGTTTGTGGATTCAAACACTGGTTTATTTGACGTGCAGGCAGTGAAAGCTCAAAGCTTTCTAATGCACTTGGCATGTCATCTCACTGCTTGTACACTCATCCTTGATCATATTTTATTGAACAGTTACATAAGAACAGGTCCTTTAGAACAGACATTATTGAATACATGTAAAAGGAGCCGCTTTGGAAACAGGTTACCACACCTGCCCGTTTAATTTCAACAAATATTTACCCAGTATTTTTTATGTGTAAAGCATTGTGAATAGAGAATAAGGAACTCTCCAATCTTATCCTTACTTGAAGGGCAGATCTTTTCTGCCCAGAATCCACAGGGCCTGCGATCTCTATTTTTGAAGTAAGCATCTTCCAGCCCCTAGAGCTTGCCCATAAGAATAGTGTATTCCTGGGAATGGCTGCACGGATGAAAGGCTTTATCAGACCACTTCCCTCCCTTCCAGCGGGAAAAGTGAGGCACGCATTGACTGGACCAAGTGTTGTGTATTTTTTTTTTTTAGTTTTATTTTTTATTTATTTATTTTTTTGAGGAAGATTAGCCCTGAGCTAACATCTTCTGCCAATTCTCCTCTTTTTGAGGAAGGCTGGCCCTGAGCTAACATCCATGCCCATCTTCCTCTACTTTATACGTGGGACGCCTACCACAGCATGGCTTGAAAAGCAGTGTCATGTCTGCACCCGGGATCCAAACCAGCAAACCCCGGGCCACAGAAGTGGAACTTGTGAACTAACTGATGTGCCACTGGGCCAGACCCTGGGTTGTGTATTTTTATTGCATGCCAGGATTATGCAGCAGAGGAGGAGCTGGAACTTTAACTTGGGAATAATATATGAAGGATATTTAATCTCCTCTTGCTTCTTAGGGACAATCTAAATTACACAAACACATGCACACACAATCAGGGCTGGGGCATGGAGCATAGTTTATTCTTCTCTTGAATCTGACCTCTTCCAGCCTTTTGTGATAGCCGTCATTATACCAAAGAACATATAGATCATGACTTCAACCATTGCTGAAACTACTGTCTCATTTTACAAGGAGTCTCTTCCAAACTCCACTCGTCTCAATTGCTGAAAAGATGTGCTAGGTTTCTCCCGCCCACATGAGTAGTTGAAATAAAAACCGTTCAAATTTGTTAACAAACTTAATTGTATGGTGAAACAAAAATAGCTTCTTTTCACCTGTTCGATTTCAAAATCCGGGATCAATTTGTTGGAGCTAAACTTCTTTTGCTCAGTGCCATCCCTCCTCCCCGACTCTTCAATGTTGCCTTAAGCATGGCTGGGGGACTCTGCCGGTTGGTTAGCCCGGAAATGAATATATATCCCTTTGCTTTTGATCACTGCAATTTTAGCAGATAGCACCTTGCTCTTATGCCTACTTGGGTTTTAATAATTTGGGAAAAGTGGATCTTGTATGCAGTGAGACAAGCTGTGCTTGGTTGGGAAGTTGGTGTTAAAAATGGAGGTGGAAGGCAGGATTTGAGTATATGAATGTATGTTTGTGTGGGCTAACTTCTGTTCATTGGCCTTTCTTCTCCCATTAGCAAAATTTCCTCACCTCTGATTTCTCCTGCTCCTCACATATCCTATCATTTTTCTCTTTGTCTTGTGTTGCTAAGATATGGCCAACTCGCCTCTTATCTGATACAATCAGCATGCTAAGTGATTAGTAAAGTCACTAAAAGAAACAGTAGATTAAAGCCTCCACAGGATAATTATTTTCAATAAGTTTTTGCTAAACTTTATGGGCCAAAGCTGTTTCTTGGAGCTGGATCCGCTGCTTGGAGTTTGAAATGATCTTGCATAAACAGTGTTCACAGCGTGTTGTCTACAGTTCCTAGCTTGTTTCCTCAAAGTGGGGAAACTAAGGACACTAAAGACACATTGGGCAATCTGAACGTAGACTACTTTGAGATGTTTCTGATTTTCTGTATTTTTTTACATTTGTCCTCTGCACAGATTATACAGCAGTGTGTTTACCAACTTGATGAGCCTGAGTATTTGCAAAGCACTCAGCTCAGTTTTCATAGAAATAACTGTCCTTTTCCTCCCAATAAATCAACAATTTAAACAACGTTTAATTTAGTCATGTAATTGAAATACTAGGTTCACAAGAATGATCAGATTTTGGAGCAAAGAGATTTGACTATTGGTAAGCAGAGGAAATTGTGGCCTAAACTGAGTGTGTATACACATATATAATTTAAAAATACATTTTTTATTTTTAAAATACTTTTTAAAGTTAGATATATCATAGATAGAAAACTGCAAAAATCTTAAGTGTACATTTCAATAAATAGTCATAAAATGAACAAATAATATAACACCACTCAGGTCAAGGAATAGAACTTCAGCACCCCATAGCCCACTTTGTACATCTTCCGCATCACTGTCCCTTTCTTCCTCACCCTAAATTACCAATATCCTAACTTCTAATGCCACATGTTCTTTTCTCCCTGATTTTGAACTTGATGTAAGCAAATTATACAGTCAGAATATTTTTACAAAAAAAATTCGGAGGTGCGAGTTAACTTGGCAAGTGAGTGGAATCCTAGTTGTAGGTAAAGAAAGTGTCTCAGAGAGTACTCCCCACCAATTATTTCTTTCAAATTTCCAGTGTCCTGAAATTTTAGGTCTGAGCTTAAAGGAGCACATAGCTAGAATATTTTTTAATATTTTTTAATCCAACCTAAGAGTCTCTGCTTTTAACATGTATGTTTAGTCCATTTACATCTATTTCTATCTATCATGATTACTGATGTCCTTCATGTTTTCTGTTTGTCCTTATGTCAGTTAGGATTAGGTTAGGTTGCCCATTGTGGAAAACCCAAAATAAATACTCAAAATGGAAATGGATTTCACTTTCACATAAACAAAGACTGTAAATTGGTATTCTGGGGCAGGCATGGTGGCAGAGTTGAAAGACACAGAGGCTCCTTTCAGCTCACTGTTTTAGCATCCCTCAAATATGACTCTTGGCCTCCTGATAAGAGAAGGTTACTAGAACTCCAACCACCATTCATATTCTAGGATTCAGAATTAAGAAAGGGAAGAAAAATGACAAAAGACTAGGGTTCGCTGCATTCTGAGGCAGTTTCCCTGAAGCTTAGAGCTCAATGGCCACAGCTTAGTCATATGTCCACCCTAAGCTGTAAGAAAAGATAAAGATTGTAAACGTTTTCTGGGCAGCCAGGCTTCTAGTTGAAAATTATTAATAATATTATTAAGGAAGGCAGCCTATTGCAGAGGTAACAGCATACTGCTTTCTTTCTTACCTATCTTCTCTCGTATTGACTACAATTTCTTTATTCCTCCATTTTTACCTCTTTCCTTGTTTGGAAGAAATACTTTCTATTTTTATTGGTTAACCTAAAAATTTTAACACACGTATAAACGTGTAAAATTAGTCACTATCTCTCTTATAAAAAAATTCAAAGACTTTGAATCCATTATCTCCAATTCTCTATTCCTGTTCTGCAAGTTATATGTCTGTTATAAACTTTTGTTCTACCTTGATTTATACTCCCAAATGAGTCATAATTATATAATTATTATCTTATTCAACTAATATCTATTTTGCTTTACTCATTTATTCAACATTTTCTTTGCCCATTATTCATTCTTTTACTTCAGTGCTTTCCTCTGGGTTTAATTTCCTTCTTTGAGTGGCTGTTAGG